ATTCCTATAAGTTGTCCTACCAACATGACCAAGTTGCGAAAACAAGATCAAACAACTTCTATACAATGGAAGAAGACTGCGACCACAAAAAAGACCACACCATCTTGGTCTTCATACTTTCAAGACCTTCACAGTTGGGCAGGATTTGTGGCCACATGTGCCGAGTGTGTCGGTTTGACAGTGCCGGAGAGGGCAAGCGTTTGTGAGTAAAATGGTGCCCATTTTTGAGAATGTCAACTTTTGCTCAAATACACTCACTTTCCACGTGATGCTTGCAAGTGATGGTGGAGATTTTCACACAACTGTATGACTAGGACATAGGATGCCATTCAAGTTCACTTGAGGCTGCCTCTTAAAAGGTCTGTTCATTCTGGCTGGATTGGATCGGATCAGATCGGGTTGCCCTCGACTACAGCCTCAACCTTGCATTGTCGTATCAAGCGCGACTCAAAACCGGCTCCTACGCATCGTGAGGACAAATGGGATTCCTTTTATTTTTAAACAATTACTAATTACTTATAACACTACTCTTATCGAAAATCTGTAAAGTTCTCGATGAATCGACAAATACAGTCTTGTCACATCTAAACTTTCCGTGTAAAAATGGAATTTTTGTGGAGACCTTAACTTCATATGAAAGCGAATTGGTTGATTGATCTCGTCAAAAGATGACGATTGACTCTGTAGCCGTTTATTTTGACGCAGTCCGTAAGACATGCGAGGGAAGACAAAGTGAGAGCTGGAAGTCATTCTTGTAAAAGTATCAGATTAATATTGAATCAGGAAGACAGGTTGTACATTTTTTTCGTATTGTAGTCAGTTTTTCGAAACGACCGGTAGATCACCATTTGTGAGATGTACGCACTCCATTTCGTTTATGGTGATAAGAGGACTGGCAGTACCCCCAGCGGGACTCTAAGCATGACCGTGAGACGCATAGTCTCGACATAGCGGCCATTACGCCTTTATCACCATACAGAAATAGGCTGAGTACAATTCATACCTATGAGCTAGTTATAAACGAAAAAAAGTATTCCAGTCGATTACTATGGCAAATACCGATTTACCAAAAAATACCCAGCCTTCCTTGAAATTCACATCTGCTCTCTGACCCAAGGGTACTCGCGGCGGTCTGGCGTAGTGGTTAACCGGTCGAGATTACATGCTGCACTGTCATGGTTAGAGTCCCGCTGGGTGTGTTGCTAAGACCAGTTCAGGCGAGGTCAAAACTGTACTCCACTCCTGCCTGGATTAGAATACTGTCCGCGAAAGCAAAGCCAAGTGTAAGGTCTTCGCGTATGATTGTGGAAAGATTTAACTACCAGTTCCTTATCACTTTAAACGAAATAGGGTGAACACATCTAATGTATGTTATATATACCCATAAACAATAACGAAAAAATAAATAAATGGATAGATAGATAGATAAATGGATATATAATGATTTGGTTAGTTCTTCTTAATATTAGTCATACTCATTTTAGTTGAGCGTGCGTGTATGCGTGTTTACGCATGCACGCAATAACAGTTCTAAATCAGAGTAATGAAAAGAGCTTAACTTCAGGCCCGGGTCATTAAGGAAATGCATGAATGAGATTGCGTAGGTCCATAAGCATGATGCGTTGTATGCATGTATGCGTGTGAGTTAGGTTACCCAATACTCTGTCATAAACGGTCAGTCTGGGGTCGGCCGTCTTTTTCTGGTGAGATCAACCAACCAATCTCTACATCTTACACTTTCATACGAAAGTAAAGTCTCTGCAGAAATGAAATCCACACAGATCCACGAAAATCTAGCCATTCTTCATGTACAAATGGGATTTCAGAGAGGCCTGGCTTCCATTGAAAGTCATTTCTGCTACACGCGAGTCTGTATCAAATCACGTTGTTGGTGCCGGCGAGACGATAAGATGATGCCAAAATTGAAGTCAATTGCATTCCAGGAGGAAGGTGAGGCAAGGCTAGCTTTAATCCAATGGATTCATGGGGCTTACTCATTGGATTGAGGCAAAAAAAATGCAATCATCCCATCCTCAAGTCACTTTAAGCGAACAAACTTGGTCAATTGAAGGTATGAAGACCAAGCTGGTGTGGCCTTTTGTGTGGTGGCAGTCTCCCCTTCCGTTGTATACAAGTTGTTTGACCCTGTTTTCGCAAATGGGTTCTATTGGTATGAAAACTTAGAGGAACGCATCTTGTCCGGAGTACATTGTATGCATAATACATTCCAAAGTTGGACCCTGGACGTGGTACATTCCCAAAAATTTCGCCGGCATCATCAGTGAGTCTCGCCATTCATAGCGCCATACAACAACTTGTCAAAGAGACAAAAAAGCCTACCCTTTGACCAAACGTGTGCCATGGGCTATTCACATTTCCTATATCTTCCTATCACACCTTCACTGTCACAATTTTTTACCGTGCCTATTTTGATGTAG